CCAGTGCTGGAGGCTTTAATTTGTTTCCCCCAAAGAAGGCAGGTTCTTCAGTCCAAAAAAGCAAGCAAATGAATACATAAATAAAAATGATAGCATTGGCACTTCAGCTGAACCTTTCTGTGTTCAGTCATTAGGAAAGGTGAACACAGGGCATGCTGGTTGGCATGATCCCATGAATTCTGAATGTGCTTGTCAGCAGCAGTATGAGAAATGAATGTTAGAAATCTATGATGCCAGGGTGACTATCATTTTTAAAGAAAAGGCCCACAAACTTAGCTACTCAGCTTCATTTACCTAAATTTTCAAGTTCTGACATTCTGGCTGATAAAAAAGGATGATGTTTTGAAAAGTAGAATTTTCTTAATTAACATCACTTAAAATAAATATTTCAAATCCACTGAGAAACTATGGCTTATTTTAACAGTGGATAACATGTAAAACAAGGAATTGACTTGCAGACAATCACTGAATCTTGGCTTGACCTGCCACTTCCTGGTTTCAGCACCATCATGCCTTCCCCCACCTCTCATCAGGGCCCCAGCTGATATTCCAGCCTTCTTCAAGGTGTCCAATGGACGGCAAAGTCTTGCCACATCACCAACTCCCTTATCACTGCCCAGTGGAAACACTATGGCGGGGAAGCAGCACCTGGGAATTTTTGGAAACTCTTGGAATGACAAGGAGCCACTGAGCTACACACCTTCTTGGAATATAGTGAAGGAAGATGCCAAATGTACTTACAAAAAACAAGGAAAACAGACTTAAATGTTGTGGAAGGCTTTCATGGCTGGGAGTTCATTAGTTGCTGTAGATTTTCCGGGCTGTATGGCCGTGGTCTTGGCATTGTAGTGCCTGACATTTCGCCAGCAGCTGTGACTGGCATCCTCAGAAGTATAACAGAAAGTTGGACTACTCTCTGTGCCAACAGACCTCTGCTGTTGACATTTCCTCTCAAAGTTAATCAAGCACCCCCCAAAGTCTGCTCTATGTCACAAAAGATGCTTGAAGTGGATACCTTATTCATTGAATTCATTTATACCCCACTTTTCTGCCCAATAGGGATGCAAAGTGTCTTACACCATTCTCTCCTCTTCCATTATATCCTCACAAGCTGTGACATAGGTTAGGTTGATCTCTCCTCTTCCATTATATCCTCACAACAAGCTGTGACATAGGTTAGGTTGGATGAGGTTTTTCTTAGGATTCAAGAGCTGCTTTAGCTGGCCAAATGTCCTCCCCACTGACAGTTGGGACTGGCTGTGGTCTTAGCTGTAGTTTTTTGCAACAACTGCCTGGGAAACACAGGATGGGGAGCATGAGCCATGACTGAATAGTATTGGTCTCTGTTGATAATTTCACCTCTACTCCGTTAATCACCTCTCCACAGTTGTAGGAGTAAAAAGTAGCATGGCATTCTCTTGCTAAATTGTACAGGGCCAGCATGTTTACCACCAACCAGCTTATTTGCCATCGGGGGTGTCCAAAAGTCATGCCATGATTCTTTGCAGATACTGTGACACACAAATCTTGGAGTGATCCTGTGGAATTCACCAACCAGTGAAGCACCAAGCTGTAGTCTTGTTTTCTGTTATAACACTCCTCACTGTGAGATTGCCCACATGAAAAAAATCTTGACATGACAATCTATGGGGAAACTCCAGGTCCAGGAACCCTACCATCAAATCCTCATAACAGCCCAGTTTTATCCCAGAGTGCAGGAAAAGTTCATTGATGAGATATACCAATCCATGAAGTTTGTGCAGGCAGTGCATAATCCTACCCTTATTTCTTGCTTCCTAGTTTTGTTCACGGTAGTGTAGTGGTTAAGAGTGTTGGACTAGTATCTGGAAGACCCTGGTTTGAATCCTCATTTGTGCCATGCAAGCTGACTGGGTGACCTTGGACCAGTCATAATTTCTCAGCCTAACCTAACTCACAGGGTTGTTGCGAGAATAAAATGGAGGAAAGGCAAACAATGTAAGCTGCACTAGGTCTCCACTGGAGAGAAAGGCAGGTTATAAATGAAGTAAATAAATTTTAAAAACCTTCTATCTCTTTTCTTCCTTAGGATTACAACATCACAGGACAAAAATATTCTCTCTCCAACTTTACCCTAGGGCTCTGTCCTAAGCATAAGGACTAATAGCAGACCCCTAAGACAAATCACAAAAAGTGTCCTGTGCAAACAAAGCCCTCAAGCAGTACTGTAACATTACAATCCATAGGCATTAGTAATGACAGCATTCTGACATTGGACCCTGGTCAACAGTGTCTTTTTTATCATCAGCCCAGATAGTTGTGGCCCCGTTCACACAACGAATTTTCCACGGGAGAGCCATGGGTGGTGGGCGGATTATCTGTATGCGATCACACCCCAACATCTGGGAAGTGGAGTGCACCCGTGGCCAACCCGTGGCTTACCGCCGAAAACGCGCGATAAAAAAGTAGTACCTCCAAAGTACTGGCAAATGGTTTGCCACGGGCTGCCTCCGGATGCCCACGGTGTGATTGCGCTGGCATGTGACTTTCTCCTCAGGCCCCTCATTTACGCACTGGCACCGAGGGAAGGACCCATGGTGTGCCGCCGGCGCGTCTGATCGCATAATCGCGGATCAAACTGCACTGGGGCAATTTCCCACGCCTCCCCCCCACGATATCCGGCCCGTGTGACCGGGGCCTGTGTTTACCAAAGACTGAACACAAACTGAAAGCATGGCCATGATCTAGATCTTACAAGGACAGATGCATCACAGACATAAGTTCCACCTTCTCAGTGCTACTCAGCTCGTATCAGGAGTTAGCAGCTTACCAGATCACATCACAGGGGTAGGAAGAGGGTGAGTAGGCGCTGTGTATATGTTGGCTGTGTAAGAGATTCAAGGATCATGCACTGTGCTGTGGCATGGGGTGGAGTAGGGCACTCCTCCCCTGGAAGGTATGTACATGCACTTGAACGCCTATAAATGCAGGTTCCTGGGACAGGATTGTCCCCATTTAGGAAATATCATATCATTAGAGGTAGAGCTCACTCAAAAATGTAAATCTCCCACCTTTTCAAGTTTTGCAAGAGAACCAGAGTATATTCTGCTCTCCATCCAAAATAATTGATTTCCATGAGTTATTTTTGGTCGAATGAGCTTAACGTTTGTTATATTCCTATCGGTCTCAATTTTAAGGGGATAACAATATGAGTGAATGATTTATTTCTAAGACAATCATTTAAATTGATTCTTTTTTACAACACAGGCAGTAAACTGTCTCACTGTTTATCCATCTATGAAAAATACTACAGCTTAGATCAATAGTTATACTGTGTATGCTCAACATCACTTAATGCAGATTAACTATCCCTGAGCACACTGCCCTTATGTTCACACAAACCATTAGTTAAAGATAGGAGAAATGGCGGATATTTTTTTCCTATTCATTCAACAAAAAAACTAATTTGTGGAGCTAAGCCTCTACATTGCATTAAGCAGTCATAACATTAGTGGGGGTACTAGATCCTGAAGTTTGGAATCACAGGGTACCCAACTACCCCCTCCTCTCTTAAGTTCCCTTCCACAAGAAATCACAGATTCTAGAAAGAGCTAATACATTATTGATCACGTATTAGATGAGTAGGACAGGGTGCCCTGGACTCTGTGAAAGCACTTTATGCATCAGTAGTGTAATCATACTAAGTACTATGGTTCTATCATAGAAATGTAGTGTTTCTGGCAATTCTGAAGCCATGGAAGACTGCCTCCCACTTTCAGGAAAAAACACACAAAACCAGACATATTTTGGAAAAGGAAATGTGTGTAATATTTTCTTTCTTATCAAACCTAAACTTATTTTACTGCTTTAACAGCATAACATGCATAATTTATAACTAAACTAGCATATAAACTTGTAGTGTTTGACATACTTATGGAATCAGAAGTATTTCGTTTTCTACAAGCAGAGCTGTGACTATACCCAATACTTGTGAGAGGGAGAGAGGGAGGCAGAGAGACAGAGTTGCAAGTTTCTGCACCCTATACTACCTTAGCATATCTACCTTAATTTTTGGCACCTCAAAGGAAGGGTGTGTGTGTTTGAAAATAGCAAAGAACTTTTCATCCTAAACAAAAGAAAGGTAGGTTGGTGAATGACTGAGAAGGAGAGAAGGAGGCAGGGAGAGGATACAGGGATTGCCAAGAAGAGGGAAAACGGTCAGGAAATTGCTAGGGATTTTGTGGGGAGGGAGAGAAGGAAGCAGGAAAAGGGGAGAGAGTATGGAAGATTTCAGGAAATAGTGGGAGAAGTGGAAGTGAGATGCCTCCCACAAGTCCTTGTGGGTTCCCACTTGTCACTTTCAAATGCTGCAGTTTGTCTTACATAAAATCAGGAGTTTTTCAGAGCTCCCCAAGATTTCTTGAAAACTCAGATCATTGTATCAACAATCCCTTTTAATGTGTGCCCAGATTGAGCATGTTCGTTAAACTGGGTGTAAAACTTAAGCCAGCATCTTTAGGAGTGAGTTGTAGAATAAGGTGGGATTTTCCCCTTAAACTATTTAGCATCTATTTAGGCCAAAGTGGGCCATATATGCAAGGTGCTTAGGATACCTGTATCTTCCAACCACACATAGTAATAATCTTGTAGACTGTTTTGCTAAAGGCTGTAATTTCTCCTGTCTAAGGAGTCTTCCCCTGATGCAAGTGGAAGCACAAATGGATCCAAATCTTTGTTTGCCACATAAAATTATCTGTTCTGAAAGGTATAGTGAAGTACCTAAGGAACACAGAATTACACTGTCTCCTTCTTGCTTAACAATTTAATTTTGCTTATCTGTTCAAGACAAAGAATGAGGCAGTAAGTCACAGTGGGAATTGTAAACCAAATAAAATTACATTAAAATCAGCAGACTGACACTACTAACACATTTTTTGTTTAGTTCAAGCACCTTTTCAGCTTCTTTCATTTTGTCCCCCATAACTCATACTACATTCATTAGCAGTACATTAATTACATACTGGGAATTTGCTGGATCCTATGGACGACCACAAATGCATCTGACAGCCCCACTTTCACAGGGTGATTGGTTGAGCTTATCTGTGTTACTGATACAGGAATCTGCAAAAAGCAAAAGAAAAGAAAATAAAGAAAATAAAGGTAATGCCATACAGTTATCTTCTATTCACTTTGTGTTTGTTCTTCTTAAGAAAGGAAATACTCCAAGAGAATTCATAGCATGGGATCACATGCTAAATGGTATCCTACACAGTATGAACACATGAAGCTTCCCTTTAAAAGCCCTGGACCATCTAATGCAGTATTGTCTACTCTGACTGGAATCAGCTCTCCAGGGTCTCAGACAGGGGCCATTCTCAGATTTGCTTCTTGAGGCTCTTCAACTGAAGATACAAGGGACAGATGCTGGGACCTTCTTTACAGAAAGCATGTACCCCAAAACTAAGCTATAACATGCCTGATACTTGCAGTTTACCAACACTGCACATCGTACATAACAATGTAGTATTAAAGTATTACTGCTTTTTCTCTTACATGGCATAAACAAAAAAGTGTACTACTGGCTTGTAAACTGATAGTAGTGTTATTTATCAAACATGACATATCCTGATAACACCTGTCTCTATATTTCTCTATCCAGATCACCTGAAGATGCAGTAGAGGTCTTCAGCCACTGCCTGTTTGCTGTGGCTAAGTGGCTAAGAATGAAAAAGTTGAAACTGAACCCTGACAAGAGAGAGGTAATGCTATTCTTGAAGGACATTGTGCTACTTACATTTGTTGGGGTTCAGCTGACCTTTACTGACATAGTTAATGGACCCATCATTATTGCTAGAGAAGCAAATTAATGTACCTGCCAGAAAATGCTTTCTACTATCTTCACTTAGCTCAGAAGATGGCTCTCTGTCTTTACTTGGCTGATCTGACCACATGGATCCATGCCACAGTGACCTTGAGACTAAACTATTATAATCAATTCTACATGGGTCTTCCCTTGAAGTCAACTCAGAAACTCTAGCTGGTGCAGAATGCTGTCAGGAGCTAGGAAAGTATGCATATTGCATCCATCCTGCATTTACTTCATTGGTTACCTATCAATCTTTGTTGTTCAATTCAAGATACTGGTTATCACATACAATGCCCTTCATGACCATGGACACTCATCTGAGCAAAGCCTTCTGAAGGTACTGGACTGCAAGTGGGTAAGATCAATAGCTGCCCTTACATGTGCATTCTCTCTGGTGGCTCCCACCTTGCAGAATGGCATGCCTGAGGAGGCTAGGAAGGCTCCCACACTTCTGAAAAGTATGTAAAACAGAACCATTCAGCATTTGTATAAAGGGAATAGGACTATAGTGTAATGGAATAGATCACAAAGGTGCTTTTAACAGGAAATCAGCACTAGGGATGGGCATGAACCAGCTCACAAACTAAAGTTCATCATAAATTTTGGCCAGTTTGTGGTTCATGAAATGAAGTTCATGGCATGCGAACATTTCATGAAGTTTCATGCTGTTCATGGCAGTTCGTGAATGGATACATTTCCAGACAGATTGTCTCCACTCAATTAAAATGTTTACAAAACTTCAACACAAAGGTTTGTGTGGAATTCTCCAGCCTTGGAAATACCAATAGGGGCCTTCCACAGCTTAACATGCACTGCTGGCTGCCAAAAACAGAGTTCCCATTCTGTTCTTTAGTATCAGAATGCTATTGCTATATATACCCTCAGCTCAGCTCTGCATCCTCTCCTCTGTTCACTGTTGGCAGTTAGACAGAGACGCAGGAAACTTGTTGAAAGCAGAGCACATTCATTTATTCCTGATTGTGAACTCCTCTCCCCTGGTGGGGTTTGGGTGTTAGGAGGACTGAGGACTTGAGCAGAGGGGCTTAGCTACTGGTTGTCTTGGCTGAGGACCCACATTTATATCTTCCTGATTGTAAACACCTCTGTGCCATGAGGGTGAAAGTGGGCGTACAGGGTGCTCATTGTGGGGGGAAGAAGTCTTCCACACCCCTGGGTACCACAGACCCCCATCCCCAGGCAACAAACCCATTCTGCCAGCCCACTGGAGCCCAGTCCTAGCAGGGAATCAGCAGGGGTCTCGAAGCCTCCTTCTCCTGATCTGTTCCAGGTGTTCTCCACAAAGGCAACAGAGTTGTTATCACTGCCCAGAGAGCAGCAATTGCTAACACTCTTTGGAGAAAAGGACCCACACTCTTTGGAGAAAAGGATTCTGCCAGCAGTGATTTTTGTGGGTAAAGAGTCAGCCGGAGTCCCTGTGAGTTTGGTTCTTCTAGCACATCAGGATGTGTGTTTTATATCACATCACGAACCAAACCAGTTCATTTGGTGGCTAAAAGACTGTGATGGTTCATGGTTCATGAACCGGGCACACCATGAACCGAACCACATTTTCCCAGTTTGTGCCCATGCCTAAACAGCACTGTAGCGTATGCCACTGTTCATGACATGTATAATCTGTTTATTGTACATGCTATCCTGCTCTTACTACATTCTTTTCCACTTCTATAATTCTGTGTTCCTCTTTGGTTGAAGTTTCATGTTCAGTACTTTTTTTCATTATTAAATGTCTATGATTGCATTGTTTTATGCGATAGTAATATATTTAATGGACTTTTCAAACTGACTATACACTACAACCTAAAGCCTTCAATGGGTTCCATATAGGGCAAAGGACATTCCTCAAAAATAAAGTAGTTGGTGAAACTGTGCGAACAGGCAAGTTCTTGTAGACGTATTACAGAGATTTTGGAATGATGGTCAAATAGATATCTTTTTTTTTTACAAACTAATGGAACTTGCATTTGTCAGATATGTAGAAACTGACTTTATTACAAGTGTGTTCTCTTTGGATTCTCTGTAGCAAAGTAGTCCATCCCCCCACCTGGAGGAGAAACAATTGGATGGGGAGAGGGGCTTGAAGAGAATATTTAAGTGCAACTTGGTTTTGGTCTCGTACTTAAGGCCTGATGAATCTGTTAATCAATCTCTCACAAGTGCTTTAGAAATTACATTTTCTAGTGTACCTTTGGTAATCACCAGCAGAAGCAAATTTACTTTGCATAAGCCAATTAAAGGCTTCATTGTTAGTTCACTGCAGGCAAGAAACCAGTAATATCCTGACATATAATGATATTATTCTTGAGCAGTTTCACTGGCTTATTGTGTAAACATCTCTCCATTTAATACTGCTTTGCTGAACATCAAATAAAATTTCACATGCAGAGCCGCACAGAAAGTGTATTATAATGGGAAATGAATTTCGTTTCTGTTACTAATATGCCATAGGAATTCTATTGTGTAAGCACTAAAGTAACAGCCCACTTTTTCCAACAAAGGAAAGTAGTGCATTTGTCTTTATACAACAAATCTGAGAGTAGCTCTGATTTTAAGAGCTTCAATGCTGAAGAGTGCCTTTTAGTTTTCACATTTGCTGTTGTTCAGTCGCACAGTCGAGTCCGACTCTTTGCATAACTAGCACTAACATTCAGGAGTGCAACCTTTTCTGTATCTCTACACATAATTAATAAATGGTCAATGCCGGAGTCCTAAATTATTTAGGGCATTTTCTTACTTTCCTTTAATGTGAATTATCTGCCTGCTCATTAAGCAGTAATGAGCCCTTCATTCGTTTAATCTCCCAGGAAGTATTACAGAAGTTAGTACATTTGCATGGGGTGGGGGGAGGGGAACGCGGCAACGGCCACAGAAAATAGTCCTGAGGCAGAGAGAAAAGCAATGGAGTTTATTTTACAAGATACTTACTTCGAAGATAAATGGTGATCACATCATTTACATTACAATCCTAAACAGAGTTACACCTTTCTAAGTTCACTGAAGTCAATGGGCTTAGATAAGTGTAACTCTGCTTAGGACTGCATTGTGTATTTCCCTTTTTTACAGTGCTGAGGATGTGTAATTGGAAATCTAATCTAAAGGTACAAGTCAGCTGATCTCTTCCATGCACCACTTGGGATTCTGATGCTGATTGGCTGTTGACAGCAGGAAGCGCCCATAAACTGAGCAGCACATGTAGACGAAAATTGATAAAATGTCACAAAGAGACTCAAGTAGCTTCTGATGACAGGCAGTGGACAAGTTGAGTACGAAAATTATTAGTTTTCATATTAATATTTCAAGCTATAATCAGAAATTCTGACTGCAAATGACACAGGCAGAAACTGTTTGCAACAGAATATTTTCCAAGCTTTGGCTCAGACATTATAAAAGATGGCTGATAAGCTGAAATAAGTTGAAATAATGACTTATGACAAGGGTCTACTTATATGAACAGTGTAGCTTTGGAGAAGATAGGCATTCAAGACTGCAGTAGTTTCTAGTGTAAAAATGGTATTTCTAATTTCCCTCACACCTTGTTTATAGAAGGGGCTGCCATGATCTTCAATGAACACTTCACCTGTTATATTGCCCATAAGAGTCGATCTCTTGAGTAAGCAAGTATTTGCACTTCTCAGTAAGCTCAATTTATATGTAAACCAGCTCTCGGTTTTCTATCACATCATCAGTAAGATGTAGCCATAAACTGCATAGTGGGGGGTTGGACACAGGCCACAGAGTGGGAGCCAATCCTAGTGGTGAGCGATACCTATAATATACACATCTTTGGAAATGTATTTACTTTTGCCTTGGTCTTTGATCATAATAAATACTTCATATAATATACAAGTCATGTTGCTTATTTTGATTTACTATGTTTTAAAACAGTTTGGGCCTAGTATACAAAAATCTTTTCTTCCACAGCAGCCACAGCAAACTCTAGGATATGTCCAGAACATCATCTTTATGACAGCATCCATATGTCAAGAAAATAGCTGTAACCAGCCATACTGACCCACAAAAAAATGCCAAACAAAAAAGAATATTCAAGCTAAATCACATCTTTTTACACAGGCTTTTAATTAAAGGTTTAATGGTCTTCACTGTTTTATGGATAGTTTTTATGCTGATGATGTCTAACGGCTTGTATTTTAATGACTTTTTTATTGGCTTGTGCTTTTAATTGTAAGCTGCCTCAAGCAGGACTTTGAACAGTTGGCATAGAATTATCCTAAATAAAATATATAAATATCAGGGCACCACAATAATGCAAAACATTGAACAAGCTTCCAAATGCACCAGAACACTCCAACAGGACAGATGTTAACAAAATAATTCTTTAAAGGGGGGGGGGAATCAGATTTTTTAAGCTCATGTTCTTAAGACCAGCATTTAGTATAGATGCTGCACTGGATTGTCATTTTGAATTGATGTTATAGTGTTAGATTGTAGCACTTGTATCCTGGGAAGAAGAATTAAACAATGAAGGTTCATGTCATGGGGGGGGGGAGGGCCAGTAAAATCCAGATGTCACTCAAAGCCAGAATTTCTCTTGGAAGACTGAGAGCACAAGGAAACATTTGGTAGTCTTAATGTTATTAATGTTAGTGATAAGGTGCCTTAAGAAAGCCTGGGCATAGAAAAATATTTGTGCATGGCTTTCCCCAATTATGAGCCTCCTGGTCAAAGAATGTCAAGTTTGATTTTTTTTAAAAAAACTTCTGAGAGAGGCACAGTAAACACTTATTCCTTAAATTACTTTTGTGTGGCACTTCAGCATTTTAAACATGGTATCCATTTAAAGTAGATATTTTATAATCTGTTGTTACTCACCCCAAGAATGAAAGAAATAAAAAGTTAGGTAAAACATTCTGAGAAAAAACTCACCTCCTTATAGCCAAAAATTATACGCCCATCACTGAGAAGTGTTGCTTGAAATGTGAAACTGCCCAGGTTGTAATTGTCCTGTAGATGTACATGATCCCACTGGACTACCAGTGCAGTACCTGCCATGTCCAGCACAGTCAAAGAAAACATTGCCATTAATTATAGGTAGCCACTGAATATATTAGATAGTACTAACACTGAACTCAGTACTACAAAAAATGCCGAAATATTGCTAGAAGTATCACAAAATAGGTATTACTGTACATTTAATTGTACTAGTGATATCCTGAAATGTGTTAGTGCAATATACCTGAGACCTCCTCTTTTACAGCAGCTGACACCATTCTTTTTGAAAAGTCGAGCACTATCTTGACAAACATGAGAAGTCTAAGAGATGGGAAGTAAATTACATCTAATGGTAGCTACTCTGTGCAGCTCTGTGCCCAGAGAATATTTTCAGCTGCTCTACTTTATTACCACTGCTCTGAGTGTAAAGGAAGGCGTGTTTGGTGCAGAACAAGATACTTGGGTTGTATAAACACCACTCGTTGATAACAAGTAGTCTTGGTCAATGAAATGCTCACAAGAAGTTATGTAAGGACCAAAGGCCGTTTAGTCCAGCATTCAACAGTTGCCAGCCACAAACCCCTGGGAAGCCCAGAAGTACCATGAAAGCAAAAGCCTTTTCTTGCAGCTAAACTCCCAAGTAACTGGCATCATAAATAAATTCAGAAACTGGAACCATAGATGAACAAGACAGGTCTTTCTACAAACACAAGAATAGTCCCAGGATTGCCCAAAAATCTGAAATCTAAAATACATATATACACACGTACACATTAGAAATATATGGGGGTAGTTTACCCCTCCCAATAGAAGCATCACCTGTACCTTTAAGAAAAGGGCTCTCATTGGCCATTGTGGGGGTTGCTAGGTAACAACAACAACACTTCTAATGGCCAAACCTTGGTTTCTGTCAGCAAAAGGGCTATTTTGGCCTCCTAGTCTACCTCTTTCCCCTCCCTCTTGCCTTGGGAGGCCAGAACCAGCAGCAAGTACTGGGCAACTTGCTATCATGCAATCTGCATGACTCATCCAGGTGTGACAGTGGCTGTCGGACATCATAACTGCACACAACTTGCCTGGGTCCAGCAGCAGCCTACACACTACTCAGTGGGGCCCAGCAATAACCACCAGACAACTCACTTGAGATACTTGGTACTGCATGACTTTTGCAACTTGGCTAGACTTTTCCCTGAGACAGGCTGCCACTGGGAGAGAGGAAAAGCTGAGAGCCAGTGTGGTGTGGTTGTTAGTGCTACACAGGGCTATTTTTGGGCAGGAACGCACAGGAACGGAGTTCCAGCTGGCTTCAGAGTTGGCCACACCCACTACAGCCAAAACTTCTGCGGGCGTGGCTATAGAGTGAAGGCCTGGAGAGCAAACCCCCCCCAGCAACTCTGAGGTGAGCGGGCCAGGGGGCCCATGAAAGGATCGGGGAGGCATTTAAATGCCTCACCGTGCCTTCCCCTGTCTGTCCAAGGGCTGGCTTGCCCGGGGACCCCACAGCCTGGGGCACCCGGGCAAGCATGGGGTGTGGCCTAATATGCTAACGAGCGGCGCTATCAGGGGGTGTGACCTAATATGCTAATGAGTTTCTGCTGTTGGGTGTGACCTATTATGCTAATGAGTTCCTGCTGGGCTTTTTCTACAAAAAAAGCCCTGGTGCTACATATGATATGGAAATCCCCACTCTGCCATGGAAGCTTGCTGGTAACCAGTCAAACACACTATTAGCCTAATCTACCTGTCAGGATTGATGTGAAGACAAAATGGAGAAGAGGATAATTATGTAAGCTGCTTTGTTTCCCCATTGGAGAGAAAGGTAGGTCACAGTAGGCATTCAAACCTAGGTCTCCTAGATCCTAGTTTGACCCTGTAATAACTACACCATGCTGCCTCTCCTTAGGCAGATCCATCGATGGCTATTAACCATGATGGCTCAATAGCATCTACTGGATACCAGTTGATAGTGCACACTGACAGAGGAAGCTTTGCCCTGCATGTTCCTGCTGTGGTCTTTTGGGGCATCTGGTCTTATACGGTAGAGCTCCTTATGTTCTTATGATGTTTCATACAATTAACACTGACTTTTGAATTATCCAGGTAGTAGCAAGCAGAGGCACAGGGACTTTCCTTCATTACAGCAACAGGTGCTTTGCCACCAGAGAAGACATACATTCCCTAGATATCTATTGTTTTCCATACAATTGTCACATTATCCAGCATTAACTTCCCAAAACGGAATTAACATTTAATGGTCAGGAACAGCCTAATCTTATCTATAATTTTACAACAAAAGGATTCCAATTATTCCAGGCCCAAAGCTTGTGATACTAGTTACATTTGCAGTTTTACACCTTCAGCAGCTAGAGTCCCTTTCTTTTTTAGTGTTCCTAGGGTTCAACACATCATGTAAATCAGATTATATATATACAGAGGGTCAAAAATATTGATTTTACTGACCAAAATTCCAAAAAAGCTGACCAAATACTGACAAAAAATTGACAAATTACTCAACAAATTACTCAACAACAACTGATAAGCTAGCGTTTTAAATATAAACTAGGACTTAATTAAAAATTATTATTATCTGGCCTCCACCATCCCCATAGCCAGCCCCATAGTTAGAGGTGACCCAGATAAAAGGATTGCACACCTTTTTAATTATTGTACAAAATTTAAGGCACATACTGCAGATAATAAAACAGCAAAACAGCAAAAACATATTAAAAACCAAACATAAAGTAATAATTATGACAACAAAACATAATTACTGTAAGGTAAGACTTGTCTTTGCTTGTACTTTATCTTTGGTTGTTTTATGAAAAAAGAACCGGCCAGCAGCCTGCCATCCCCGGTGGAGGCCGTGTCCGGCTGGGCATTGGAACACCTTAGACCGATAGTCCTTCATGATTTCAATGTCCATGTGGACGATGTGGCCTCCACTCAGGCGATAGACCTAGTGTCATCTGTGGTGGTGCTGGGACTCTCCCAATATGTAACGACTTCCACTCACTGAACCAGACACATGCTCGATCTGATTTTCGCGGCTGGGGTCACAGTGGACTGGGTCACTGTCTCAGCAGTGCCATGGTCAGACCATCATGCCCTGAAGGCCCATCTGAATGTTTCACCCTAATCCTGTTTGGGCGGCAAGCAAATTTCAGCTTGCCTATGGAGCCAAATGGGCTTCAAATGGCTCTGCAGGATCCCTATGTGGCTTCAAATGGCCCTGCAGGATCCGATGCCCCCTGGCGGCTCGTTAGATGAGCTTGTGGAAGATTGGCACAGCTGACTCTTGGCAGCCATCAATGAGATCGCTCCCCAACACCCTCTGCGCCCTTAGTCTAGGCTGGCTCTTTGGTTTACCCAGGAGTTGCAGCTGATGAAGCGAGGGCGAAGTGGGGCGGGGGCCGGCAG